CCATCACCCAGTCCTTCATTACATGCAAAGCTTGACCAGAGCGGTGATTTGCACAAATGGTTTTGACCCTCGGGATAGTATTTGGAAATGTCTGGAGACAATGTTGCTCGTCCCATCAGGAGCAAAGGGGAGTCTTCAACTTCCAATATGCACAGGGTGACCCATTATAATAAGGAACACCCATATCCAAAACCCCAGTTGAACTAACATGTACAGATTCTAATCTGTAGCCTTTGGCTTTGGCTTTGGAATGCAGAATGAGCCTTGCCACACAGCATACTGCTAACAAATTCGTGTTAAAGAATAAATGCAACTATAAAGGCAATGGTCTCCTTAATAGGAGGAGACGCTGTTTACTATGTGACAGTCAAGAGAATGAATTGTTAGATGGACCAGCTCAAAAAACCGTTTGATAATCACCTCACTTTTTTTCATATTTAATTTTTTCACTTTTTTCCAGCAAGGTGTTTTCCCTTTGAAGGTTGTCACATTAGAAATCGGGTAAGTAACAAGTTAATTAAAAACAGGAGCTTTGATGGTGAGCCGGCATGAATTCAAATCTTCAATGACTATCATTTTCTGGACTATAAATGAAGATAAAAGCAAATCAATATGGCTGAGAACATATAAAACACACTCCTTTATAATAATAACTATTTCATTCTCAGCTTAGCACAGGACACTGTCATCTGGACCCATTTGATTGTATATTATCCCTTAACACTGTTGGCTGGCAGGCAAGGTGTTTCCTTTTTGATTAAGGAATTGTTGTCTTCTGGGTTTCGGCTCACAGTGGCTACATCAGGCAGGCTAACTAGCGCTTTGAGGGAAATGTTGCATCAACTATGCCAAAGTCCCAGTGCAGAGTGTTTCTGCACACCGGGTATTGCATTAAGACTGTGATGCACATTCCATTCTGCTCTCACAGCAAGGAACTTGGGATGCCATGACTGAAGAAGCACTGATTCTGTGGGTTAAGTATCAAATTCAGTACATAGACACACACAAAGGCATTTGATGCCAAAATTCAAAAACTTCCACCATAAATGACACTGTCCCTGAGTAGCCAGGAGGATGCTTTGTCATATGAAACAACAGAATGTACAAGCTTCTAAAGAAAAGGCATGCCTGTGTAGGTGGAATGGGAATGAGGGTAATGTATGCAGAGTACCAGTGTAGCTTGTTCATTAGAGCACTGTCTGTTAGTATATCATTGGGAGGAACTTGAACATTTGTAGGGAGCTGGCTAAGTCATACAGAAGAGCATAAGAGCACATCACAATGAAGGAAGCAGGTTCCTATATATTGACTTTGAAAGATGGTGCTTTTGCTGTGAATGTGATCTGAAGTTACAGAAAGAGATGTGTGTGTGTGTGTGTGTGTGTGTGTGTGTGTGTGCATGTGCACACAATCACACATATGCATAAGAGTTAGAATTGTATAAATGATTAAGAATGGTGCCTGCAAAGGACAGATTGTATGATAGGGTCTTGTACTTTATGTATGAGTGTCTTTGTATACACTCTCTTCTACCAACTTAGGTCTCATCCTTGTTATGTAAGTCAAAGGAGACACACGAAACATACCTATATGACATTGTTTAGATGACATCAAAGCTCTACCTGAGGAATGAGATGATCAGACAGTCTACATTGTGACGGTCATCTGGGAGTGCACGGAAAACAGGGGGCAGTGTTTGTCTAATATGCTTCTTGTGGTACCTAATACACAGGTTCCTATTGAAAGCCCTCCCATTGAGTGGAAGGCTGGTGGTATAAAAATTCAGTCCATGCACTTAGTTCGCAAGAGTATGAGACATTTCCTAGGAATAAGGAGGATGGAGAAATTTTTTTAAAAAATAGTCTCTTCAGACCCTTGTTCCTATTTGACTATAATATGACTATTTATTCATAGAGTACTTTCCACAGATTCTGATTTTTATGGTGCCATAAAGTAAGATTTTCAGAAACTTGGTGGTGGGTAACATACTGCCATCAATGACACTGTTAATTAATGAAGAATTCTACTTAGTGAGGATGAGCATCATATTTTTCTGAAAATGAATCTTGAGAGCTTCCTTGATTATACGGTGATTCTGCTTCCATTATCATTTAGAGATTGAGGCATGAGATGGGTCTGGTGATTATAATGATTTAAGAGGAGAGATGATATGTTAGAACTATGGGAGATTCTATAATTTCATGGTCTATAGAATAAAAAAATACATCACATCGCTAGATCTGAGTGTTTTGTATGTTAGCATTGGCTGTTGAGAAACTCTGCACATATACCTGATGATAAGTTTGTACTATATTCTCCTGACATGGATGACATGCCTATTGTCTTTACTAATGAAGAAAAGGGAATATAATACACTTTATTACAAATTTCTTCAGGGTTTGGGCTATAATGGCAAATATGTGGGGAGAAAGAAATTACTCATTAAGAATTTCCCAAGAATTATTCATAATTTCATCTAATGATATTATAGACCCTAGACCTTCTAGATGCTTCATCTGGCACAGAATGGAACCATACAGATCTGTGAGGCAGTTAGCCATATGGAGCACATCATGCCTCTGATCTGCAACCTGCAATAAAGAATTTTTCTTGCTTTTTGGACCAATGTTATGTCATGAGAATTTAGTCAATAATTTGGGCTGGGACATTGTTAGGAATATGAATTTGTCAGTGTCCCAGTTTATGCTCCTGAAATTGTGTAGGGCTTACTTCAAGGTTTGATTTTGAAAACACTGGTGTACCTGTATGTATGCTATGTGTGTGTGTGTGTGTGTGTGTGTGTGTGTGTGTGTGTGTGTGTGTGGTGTGTGTGTGTGTGTGTGTGTGTGTGTGTGTGTGTGTGTGCATACTCCCACATTCTACACTGTGCCTGTGGAGGTCGGAGGACAACTTTGGGGTGTTGATTCTCGCCCTCCACATTGTTGAGGTATGGTCTCCCTTGCTTCTGCCTCACTGAGCACACCAGGGTGGCTAGCACATAAGCCTCTGACACACTTTCTTCCCACTGCCTCCAATCTGTCCATACAATTGCTGGGATCCATTTGCATGCCACCACAAGGAAGGGTCTTACATGAGGTCTGGGAACCAAATTCAAGTCATCTGGCTTCTGGGTGAGGTGAGCCCTTTTATCTGTAAAGCCGTCTCCCTGTCCAGTCTTTTCTCTTTTGATGTTTGAGATCTCAGCTGTTAAAGTGAGAAGGAAAAGAACTCAACAGGGAGAAGCTGGGTGTAGGTGTGCACAGTTAGCCAACAGGTGAGGGAGTCTTCAGTTACAAGCTGTTTATGAGTAAACTGAGACTAAGCGTCCCCACTGTCAGGTCGTTCTCTGTGTACAAAGGTTGCTAACAATGTGGAGTTATGTGGATTTCCTGAAGTTTGCTTTTAACTTTATAAAATTAGATTTCATTAAATCTAAGATGTGTCAGCCATATAATACACCATTGTTTAAGACTTATGAAAATTGTAATTTTATGATTAATCCTAGCAAGGAAATGTAAGAAAAGCATGCCACTGAACTAGTAAAAATTGCTGGTGTAATATAAAACATGCTTGTAAAAAAAAAAAAAAAAAAAAAAACAGACACATGTAGATATAATAGCTGCTCTTCTTGGAACTCTCTGGAAATAATTTGTTTGCATGCCCTATAATTGAGTATGTTTACAGTTGCTTCCCAGATACAATCCTTCTACATGTTCGGTATCACAGCTGGCTTTTATCATGCAGCTGTGCACTGTGAACACATTTTGATCGCGGGTGTCTCCGTTATAATGACTTAGGTGATATTCATAGCATCTTTTCTGACTCCAGGTCAGAAGTTCCCAGCGTCGGCTCACAGCTCACTGCCCCTCTCCTCTAAACATTTGGAACAAAATGCAGTGCAGTGGCGCATGACGGGCTTTTTGTTGCATTTTCAGTTCGCTCACAAAACGAACATCATTTCTCACTGCCTATCACCCCTCCATTGAGTATTTATTTCAGCCATCATTTAGATATATCAGAGTCAATCCATTTTATCGCTCCTGTTTCATTAAGACTAGAATCAGATGATTACTATTCCTGAGTTGGGGGGTCCCATTTTCTTCTGTTTTCTGTCATTCTCTCTTCCCATACACCTTCCTGTGCTTTCCTGTTGGCATTTCCTCTTTGAGCCTCATTTCTAACAGTCTGCCTTTGTCCACCCCAGACTTAAATGCGCCTTCCCACTGCTGGCCAGATCAGGTTAGGCTGATGCAACCTGACCTGGTCTCTCTTTTTAGCACTCACTTCCTTCGAGCTAAAGACGCAAGCTTCCCTCTCAGCACCGATGTCTCCTTAGCTACCGAAGGGCACTGTGGAAGTGTGTGAGTCCTAGGACTCTCTCAGAAACTGAGCCAGAAAGGGGGCGAAATTGAAGCCTGAACTACACAGCATGACTCTGTCTCAAAGCACACACGCGTGCACACACAAACACACACTGACGCATGCACATGCGTGCGTGTGCACACACACACACACACACACACACACACAAACACACATACACTGGTGGTCCAGCTGCAACTGTACAATTCCCAGTATGATGATCTCTGTAAAGCTGACTAGGAATACCGCCATGAAATTTCAATTCTTAATAGATTTCTTAAAATTATTTCACTTTTGAAACTTGTTATAGGAAGGAGATAGTTTTTAAGGAGTTTTGGTGTGATGAATTTGCTACTGTTTTTTTTCTTAATGTGTCTTTCCTATGAAATATGGCATGAAGTAATAAATGTGATCTTTATAGTTTTGGAAGATGTGATAACACATTTCTGCTCTGCTTTTCACTTGAAGTAGAACGGTAAACTACTAAGGACTGAATGCTGTAAAACTGAGACTATGAACAATGGACACCATGAAGCGTTTATTCTGCGGTCTTAGTTTACATATGTCATAACTAGATAAAAGGCCTTCTCTGGGCCACTTTTCTTTTTCTGTCTTTTTTCTCTTTTCCCTTTGCATAGAATGTCATGTCAGCTGTAGCCAACAGAGAGGTTGCTCCCTTGAGGACTGATACAGTGGAAATAAAAGGTACAACAGTACAACTTCCATCAAGAGAGTGAACTACAGCAGCCTTATCTCTGGAACACACCCATGTCTCTGAGGTAATGTCTTCCATGGGGAGGCAGACAAACTGAAAACTTCAGAGCAGCTTGCTGGGAGAATGTGCCCTCTGCCATGCAAATTAGATGCAGAGATGGAGCAACAAGGAACTCTTCCAGACTCACCCTTAAAGACTTCCCAGAGAACAAGACACTGACGACCGTCGTGTGGGGCTTGGATAGTCAGGGCCGAGCCAACTATGTGCCGCCAGTCCTCAGATGCATCACAGTGCCCTTGAACTGTCATTGCTTTTAGGTAAGCCATGGATTAAGACATGCAGGCATATTCTCTTATCTTGATTGTATATCATCCCGATGACCAGTCCTAAAAGTTCTGATAACAAAAGAAACTACTCACATCCTCTAGAAAAATCTAAAAAAAAAAAAAAGTGCAGAAAAGAAAATAGCTTCTGTTTATATTTTTAGATGTCCTGAGTTCACATGAGACTATTTCGTGATACATATAAATATTGGGTCTTACACACACAATACATACACACATCTACATATGTGTATAGGATCGACAGAGTAGAGCAGAGCCATTTACCCCAGCTCACTGAAAATTTCCAAACATGTTATGACAGTGTTCACTATGTCAACATCATAAAATTTAACTATATAATTCTCCTGTTTGGGCCCTTTAGTTGGATTTTTTCTTTTTCTTTTCCTTTTTTCTATAATAAATACTCACATTATAAGGCATCTGTAGTGATCCTTGGAGAAGAACACAGGTGAGAAAGAGGAGAAAAGTGTTTAAAGACGAAACAGCATATTGTCGAATGTTTTAACAAAATTGTTATTTCTATCTTACCTACAGTCATCAAGCTGCAGTTTTAATCCAGTCTCATCGGCAAGGAGTGTCCTTATTTTCCAAACCTTTGTATAGGTGGACAAGTGCTATCTCTTTGTTTGAGAGCACATTGCTTTTATTATTTTTACTTTTAATATTTTTTTTTATTTTATGTGCATTGGTATTTTGCCTGCACGTCACTATGTGTGAGGGTGTCATAGCCCCTGGACCTGGAGTTACAGATGGTTGTGAGCTGCCATGTGGGTTCTGGGAATTGAACCTGAGTCCTCTGGATGAACAGCCAGTGTTCTTAACTGCTGAGCCATCTCTCCAGCCCCATTGCTTTTATTCTTGACCAGGATGACTCCAACAGTGTTAGAAGAGTGATAACTCTTCAGTGGTTGCTTTCCTGGGGAATCTTTAAATTGCTCCAGGCAAGGGTAGCCTTTCCAGTCTTTACAGAGTGCTGTCACATACACAATTACTTTAGCAGAAGCTTCCCACCATTTTTTCAAGATTGGAAAACATGGGTGTTATTTCCTCATTTAAAAGGGAGACCAGGGAGGCAGACTGAGCATCAGTAAGGAGCCCAGGTTAGCAGCACAAGAGGCTTCTGTTCGGTGCAGCTGGTTCTGTTGCCGTTTCATCGGTGGTTTATCGAAACACAGCATTTCACTGTGGAAAGGAAAACTGGAGTGAAGGAAAGTTGTAGTCACTATTCAGTCGCCCCTCTTGTTCCTTTAAAAAGGACTGATATGAGGGAAAAGACCTCTGCCCTCTCTAAAGTGGTGGGTAAGAATCTCCAATTCTGAGTAAATGTTTAGAAAAAAAAACACACAGGAAAAATTAGCCCCAAGGTCTGTTTCTCTAAGGTGTACCTCAGGCAAATGTTAACTTCTAGCACTGTATGCTGAAATATCTGATGACAAACTGAAGGGTTTAGCAGGTTTGCAGAGGACTGCAGGAATTTTAAAGACAATGCTCCAAGATTCCAGGAGTTAGTTAAGTAGAACTTTGAGTGTCTATTCAGAGGAAAATGTTTGTTTCTTCTGTATTGTGAATGAAAACAATTTTGCTGGCTGAAAAATCCATTTTTATATTGCTGATTTGAGGGATGTGATAGTGTGAGTGAAAACGGCCCCCATAGACTCATAGGGAGTGGCATTATTTGAAAGAATTAGGAGGTATAGCCTTGTTGGAGTAGGTGTAGCCCTATTGGAAGAAATTGTCACTGGGAGTGGACTTTAGGATTTCAGATGTTCAAGCCAGGCCTAGTGGCTCACTCTCTCTTCCTGTTGTCTGCCAATTCAGAAGTAGAACTCTTGGCTACTTCTCCAGCACCATGTCTGCCTACATACTGTCATGTTTTCACACCATGACAGTAATGAACTAAGCCTCTGAACTGTAAACCAGCCCCCGTTAAATATTTTCCTTCATAAGAGTTGCCATGGCCATGGTGTCTTTTCACAGCAATAGAAACTCTAAGACAGGGGTCCTATGGATGTCTTTCTGTATGCTGTGAATATGTGTTGCTCTAATTGGTTGATAAATAAAGCTGTTTGGCCAATCAGCTACACAGAGGGAGCTCATTAAACAACTCTATTTTGACTATATGACCTAAAAAATAGTGTGGATTCAAATTTGTATTCAAGTCTTCCCATTAAAGACAAATCACAAATTTCAAAAGAAGACATATCTAAAATTGTATTCCTGTTATATTCTTTTTCTAATTAAAAGCAATTTGTCTGCCATGAGTGTGTGTATGTATGGGTGTGCACATATGTGTATGGTTAGAGATCAACTTACGAGAATTGGTTCTCTCCCTTCACCATGTGGGTTCTGGGGATTGAATTGAGGTCATCAGGCTTAGCAGCAAGCACTTTTACCCACTAAGATGTCTAGCCAGCCCTCCCAACTAACTCTATCCCTTCTTATTGCTTACCAGGTTTTCATAGAGACATCATAAGTTTTCAGACCAATGAATGGTACCTGTGCTGTGGGGAAATCCAACAATACAAATGATATAGTGACGGTTTAGCACCAAGTCCTTCTGGATGATGCTGTCATCAGTACCAAAACCCTGGAGAGAACAGTCTTATCAGTTACAATTTTGGCTGAAGTAACAGAATCTGAACCTTGGGCAAAGATGGAAGTATTTGCCAAACTCTCAGGGATGGGTGGGGGTTATGATGAAAAGGTCCAAATTCCTTTCTTCTAGATTTTTAGAAAAAATATATATTTTTAATTTTTTGCTTAGTCATTTTGTGTGCTCATGTAGGGGCATGCACAAGTGTATGCCATAGCAGGTATGTGCAGGTCAGAGAACAGTTTGTGTGAGTGGATACTCTTAGCGATGGCTAATCTTTGTGGTCAATTTGAACACTTCTGGAATCAACTGAAACCCAAGCATCTGGGCACAGCTGTAAGGGATTGTTTTGATTGGATCATTTGAGGTGGGAGACCCTACCTAACATGGATCATTTCAAGTCTGAAGACCCACTGAAACCTGGACCACACCTTCTGGTAGCAACCTACATAAAGGACGTGGAAGAAGGAAGCTTTTGCTTTTTGCCTGCTTGCCCTCACTCTCAGTGGCAAGTTCATCTCTCCTACTACTGAGGCATCCCTTTGATGGTTTTAGAACCTTCTTCCTCAGAATTCCAACACAGACTAAAGGTCAGCTGAGACATTCAGTCTTAAGGACTGAACAACTGCTGAACGTTTGGCCTTTCCGTTGGGAGACAGCCATTGTTGGACTACAAGGACCACAGCCTAGAAATGCCACTCTACTAAGTCCCCTTTGTACGAATGTAGACTCATCTTATCAGTTCTGTTCTTCTAGGTCAGTGGTTCCCAACCTTCCTACTGCTGCGACCCTTTAATACAGATTTGTAGGTGGTGGTGACCACCACTCCCAGCCATAAGATTATTCTGTTGCTACTTCATAACGGTAATTTTTGTTACTGTTATCAATCGTAATATAAATATCTGATATGCAGGATAACTGATGTGTAACCCCCAAAAGGGTTGTGACCCACAGTTTGAGAACTGCTGCTCTAGAGAACCATGACTAATACACTCTCCTTCCACCAAGCAGATTTCAAGGCTCAATCTCAGGTCCTCAGGCTCGATGGAAAGTACTTGGACCTGCTGTGTCCTCTAGTGGACCTTCTGCTAACTTGTTGGCATGCATAGTGCATGGTGTCACTGTTAGTCACCCACTGCAATGACACCCAGGGCCCCTTCCCCTTATCTGACTATAACTCAGCATCCACTAACCTTCCCTCTCCTCCTCTCCTTTCCTGCCCCCTCATTTTATTGATGATAACAAAATAATCTCTTTTAAGCAAAATAATTATATCTATAACATTTACATTATTTATAGATGATACAGATACATGTAAGGAAGAAAAAAGTCTGTAATCCCACCACCATTGTCTACAGCTAACTGACTTTTAAGTTTTTGGTGTGCATCCTTCCACTTCTCCCATTCTACACACACATGCATGCACATGCACACACCAGTGCACATGTTGTATGTGATACATCTGCATGAACATGTACTATAACACGAGGGTATATGAAGTGGCAGACAACTTTGATATTCTGACTTTTGAAGTATCACCCTCATTTTTCAGTGTTTGATAATCTTTTATGTTTAAAAGTTAAATCTCACTATAATTGAGTCAATTAGTAAAGCATACATAAATAAAAATATTTTCACACCCCCCCAACCCACATCTCTGAAGTAAACACTAGTCACAATTTAGTGTCTAGTCTCACAGACCCTTTATAATACTATGTTCCTTAAAATGTGAATAAACAAACACATAAGCATGCTTAAGATGTCAGCTCATTAGCTGTCATTTTTGAGGAACCCTTTGGGTTTTCATAAGGAACAGTGGGTTGGGAATGTCAACATTTAGTCTGTTTGCTTGGCGGTAAGACTAGAACATTGCAATTGAATAAAGTTGATAAATCCAGGCCTTTTGTGTTTGACTCCTCATTACCCTCTGCCTTATTAGCGCCCGAATTCATGATCTGCAGGACCAGTCTTTGCGGAGAAAGGTGCTTCCCGTGTAGACAAATGATAAGAAATGACTCCTTTGCACTTGGCACCGGGGTCTCTGCAGATGGATATCTATCCAATTTAATAATCACTCAGCATTCAGAAAAAAATATTTTCTCTCAAGTGCTGAAGAAATATTTGTTGTTATCTTGTTTAGCTTGTAGAAAATTGGACTCACATTTTTTTCTAACCTTTTTTAAAAAGGTCCTGTAGGAAAAGGACTTGAAGATTAACTCAATAGCCATTGACTTTAGAGAATGAGACACCTATGAAATTATTAAAAACACTTAAACTCATGGAGTTTCTCACCAAACTTACTTTAGTCTAATTAAATGGCTGTCCCCCATCGCTCTTATATTTTGTTTTATACTAGATAAGAAGCAAATATATCATCTCTGGGTGGCATTAAATATTTCTCTCATAATATATCATCAACAGAGTCTTGCTGGATTAATGAATCATGTGCATGTTTGAAAGTGGGATTGTACTTGTCTAATTGTGGCATCAGTTGTCATGGAGACTATCAGCCAATCAGTGAATAAACACCCTTTCTTGGCAATGTTTGGGTGAAGAAAGCTTTGTGCGGTTGTCAGCCTGAGATTTATGACGGTAAAACTATATTTGGCAGTCCAATCAATGTGTTGACCACTCTTTGTGTCTCTGCCCTCATTTTGAGTCAACCCCTGATATTCAACTAGAATATTAAGAAACTCTGGGTCTTTGGAGCAGTTTTGTTATTAATAGATCACTTTTATAAACTGTGCATGGAATGACTAGCTATTTGTATACATATCCAGTGAAAGCAACCCTTGGTATTTCTTTGTATTTCTAATTGCAAATGTCAGATCTTGAAAGCAAGTGTGTATTAGAGGATATCTTTTTATGTCTACTATTAAAACATGTCGAGTGATCTATAAATTACCCCATAGATAAACAGTGGATTAAAATTAGGCACTCTCCTCTGTCATCGCCATAATATTAATCATGGGAGTTTGGGTCTTTAATGTTAATATATACCTTTTAGCAGTATATGTCACTACATATTAAATTACATGATAGCTGACAGATTTTTAAATCAAAACATTTTTTCTTTCCTAATGTCATAACATGAGAAGAAATAGAGTAATTTTTGCTTGCATGGAATATTGCTTAATCCTTGTTCATGCTGTTTTGGTTGTTTATATTCACAATGGATGCAGATGTTTTTACCACTAACTATCCTTATTCACACACCAAAAAGAATGATTAATATTTCTTTTAATGCATGAGCAGCTATACAAAGGAATGTCCATAAATCAATACTCATGTAGTACTTTTTTAGTAAAATAAAATTGTGAGAAAATATCATATCTTCTCAAGTATTTCTTTTCTTTGACCAGAAGGAATTGCTATTGAAAAATACTACTAAAAACATGAGAAAATCACAGCTTTTATGTCTAAACAAATCCAGCACTGAAATCCTTTACAATATACTGTCCAGTGGAGAGTGATTCACTTATACTCACTTTTCCTAGCCAAAGAATGATCAAGTTTTATGTACTTAGTTGACATGCATCATATTCAACGAGCAATGAGAAGTTAAGATTGTTTACATGTCAGTTCATATCACTTGCAAAATTTCTTCTATGAATACCCTATCCTAATCTTCACATTTTTTTGAGGCACAAATTAGTTATGGATGCTGGACCACGTATAGAATAAGTGCATAACAAGAGTAAAAAGCCTATTGCCCACTTGGCTAAATGACCATTGTGTCCTCCATTTGGATGTCTCTACTGTGCTTCATCTGAGGTTCCAATGCCTCTGTGTTTATCTCCTCTGGCTGTCATATCAGCAAGATTCCCCGCATAGAATTTTTAGTGCTCTATCTTCAGCATTTTGAACAATTTGAGTCAATCCCTGATATTAACCTAGCATATTGGGATTCCCTGTCTCCAGAGTGGTTATAGTTGCTAGTTGGCCACCTTCATAAACAGTATGAGGGCCAAGCCAGCTCTCAAACAACCCAGTGAATGTTGAGTACTTCAGAATACTGCCTCCCCACCATGTGAGAACACAGCAAGAGGTCACTTGTGAAAGCACAGAATGACCCCTTGCCAGACACTGAATCTGTTGAAGCCCTGGTTGTGGAAGCTACACGTGTAAAGATTAAGTTTCCATCGTTTATGAGAAACAGAATTTATTAACAGAAATAGAAAGTGTCCGATGACAGGTTTTCATTCTCTTTTAAATTCCCTTTAACTGAAACATGTTCAACTAATCAAATAAAAATTATCCTATTTCTCAGTGATAAGGTTCAAAAATCAAATCCACGAAAATGAGAAAAATGTCCTGAGTGGTAACTAGAAAGAGAGTTTTGCAGTAATTGCATATTAGTGAAAATGAATTTTAAATAATGTTTTAAAAATAATGTAATAGCTTTTATTTTTATATTCACTTACATTTCTTCAGGCATTTTTGTACATATTTTTCCTAATTTCCTGTTTCTAATTTTACAGAAATGAAATCAAAAGACAGAAAAATTTGAGAACTTGCTCCAAAATAGAAGGAAGCTCTCCTGATTCCAAATTTAGAAATCTTCCTACTAGAAGGATGAATTTTTTTTTAATTCCATATAAATACCATGCTTACACTTAAGGAGACACTCCGACAGTCTCAGCAGCACACTGCTTACTGAGAGGTCACAGAATACCTCAAGGTCCTTTTCCTAGCATATTGGTAATAACCAATCCAGTTGTCCATTTTTGAAAAATGAATGCCACAGATTGCAATAGGCTTTTAAAGTAACATTCAGGGTAGGATATCACCAAGAACATGTACCTGGCAAAAATGTCTCCACTGGAGCATAAAGTACTTGCCCTAGAGCCGCTGAGAGATAATCAGTGCCCTGGGACATATTAACTGCTGTGTACACATACCTCACAGTGAACGAACAGCTTGCAACTGCACATTCACCTGCCTAATGACCGACCTCGGTGAAGAACAAGAGAGTGACGTGCAACAGTCTGACCCTCCATAGTCATCTCTTACACACTCATCTGCTTGCTTGACATCTCACCTTGAGATGAGTTTTGTTCCGGTTAACATTCCTGATTTAGTTTCAGTTTATTTACTTATTTTATTTTTTTTTGATTCCTGACCACTGTCAAACTTGACAAAGATTCAGGAAGCAGATGATTAGCTCTTCTAAAAACTAATACACGCATATCTAATATGCTCTATGTTTACTGTGTGGTCCTCTATTCTTAATACCAAAATGTTCTGTCCAAGAAAACTATTACTGTGAGTATAATAATTGGTTCTGTCTCCATAGTATAGCCCCATGTGAGGTGTCTATAGGTACTGTCTATATGGAACACATTATGGACTTGTAAAGGGAGCATATTATGTTATTGCTACATTTGTAGGGGTCTCTTTATTCTGAAGAACAATAGCAACCAAAATCTAGTCAGTATGTGCAGTAGAAGTATATGTCATTATCATTCATATGAATGAAAGGAATAAGAAAATAATCTTCCCTTAGGCCATTTTCAGTAATATGTACAAGTGAACAAAGGCAACAGACAAATTTTTTGTGCATGAAAATATGCATTGACTATAAAATGACATCAATACATCTGGTAAAACATATAGGATATTCATATGATACTACATCATTTAAATAAATATCCATAAACTATCTCGTTTAAAACATTATTGCACACACACAAATTCAAATATTACTATATAGAAATTATAATGGTATAAAATATTATGTAACTTGTAAGTATACATACAATTTTAATTTCAGCAATCTCCATAGTAATCAGTGCTGTATGGAATTTATGTTTAAATTTCTCTGCATAAATGCAAAATGTGCTACTATTTTCTAGTTCATCCTGATTATTTTGCTTTCTCGCTATCCTTCCATTATTTACCCCTCTTTGCTGTCTTGGATGTGTTTCCAAGAAAGTCTCTTAAAAACTAGAAATGGAGAAAGGAAACAATTCAGTCTTCACTGACTTGATTAACAGAAAACATGTTTCTCACTTGATTGACAAATCCCAACTATTACAGTCAAACGAAGCATCATTTACAGATTTATGATAGTTTAACTTCATTTGTGTTGAAAAATGAATGTGTTGCAGACTGGGGAGACATTCAGGGGAAAAACACTCACTGTACAAGCTTGATGATGTGAATTTGGACCCCTGGAGCCCATGTAAAGGGGGGGGCAGTAACATGAGCATCTGAAATTTTAGTATACCCTTCCAAGGACACAGGGGGTTCAGACATGAGATAGCCTGGGGCACACGGCACTGGAAAGACCTGGTCCAAATGAGGTAGAAGGACTGACAACCCGATTGTCGTCCTCTTCCCTTCCTGTGTTCACTGTAGCACATACGTCTACCCCCATACACATAAACATACATAGACATACACATACACACACATCGACATACACATACATACATACACACTGCTATTTTAAAAACAGGTGTGCTTTTCTTATGAAATTATATATTCATTTCATTCCTGGTACAAAGATCAAAAGTTCTAAATTTATACATAATTATAAAAATATTTGGGTGAAAATTACTTATGATCACAGTCCAACATGATAATCCAAGAAATCTTTTGTTTGCATTACATGGTTATGATAAATATATCACAAAGCTTTTGTGGGTGTTTTAATAGTACCGTAGGAGTGTCTCTATAAGTTTCATGTGCTGGTCTAGAGTTATGAGGCCTTGGCTGGGTAGTGTTGCTCAATGGTAGGTTGCTTGCCCAGCATGTGTGAAGCTCCGGGTTCAACCCCAGGGACCACAAACAATAGTGATTACAATTGAACAGACAAATGTTTCCTCTTTATCTTCTGGTGTTAGTATCCCTGTGGGTCTTTCTTTACTCAAGGGTTGAAAATTCAGTCTAGTAATAGTGTGTAATGTTGCTGTTGATAGCGGACATCTCTTGAAATCAAGGCAGAGGAGGCCATACCAACTTAAAAGTGAAGTCCAATACTACATCAGATTTGTCTGTTTGCTTTTTGGAAAAAAATATTTATGGACTTGCATGTTATTTCAGGAGCTACTGAACCATGTGGGGACTAGATTCCAGCTCTCCCAAACCATCTGTTGGAGACGGCGTTACTGGCAGCCTTTTTCCTTTTGTTACTGTTTAGTCAAGATTATTTTTTACTAATTTTGAAAAATAGCTTTAAAAAACCTTGCTTCTCCAAGTATTACCCTTAGGGAAATTAGTACTTGCCTATCACAAAGAAAATTATTTTCGTGTTATTTGAAATAATTATTATGGAAATATCTTTCCATTATTTTTAGGAAGAAAGACTGGTATCAGGAAAGAGTAAAAGAGCAAAATTCTAAAAACTATTATAGTTGATTTGTAAATCTTTATATTGAAGACTAGAGTGGCCCCCTTTCTGCTTCTGTGGGACTCTTGTGCTCTTGTGGGTTCCTTTTACTTAGGGTGATATTGTCTGGGTATTCTGAGCTACACTTGATTCAGAATCGATTTAATAATAGAAGGTTTTGCCCTGATGAAGAACGAACTTGCGACTGGTGCACTGAGCTTCCTGATAACATTGCTCAGCTTGGGTTGGGGACATAGCTCACGGTGAGCCTACTTGCCTTCTGTGGGAGAGGTACTTCAGACTCCCACAGAGAGAGCAGTGATGGGAAGGAGGAGGAGGGCTCCGTGGGGAGAAAGGAAGAAAAGAACAAGGCAGAACTAAAATTTCCAACAACAAAAATGCCAGGCCAAAATGGAGCCATCAGCTTAGTTTCAAGAAGAAATATAATTTTAATTTAGCCCAGAGAATAACTCTGTTCTCACTTACGTCTCTATTTTTTTTCTAAAAGACGGTTTCCTCGGTTCACAAGCCTAGCTTAGCAGTCAGTTTCTCAGAACCAGATATATTTTATCTTCCTGCTGTCATTGTTCCAACAAAGACCTCTTCTGTCAGTCAAATTTACATTCAATTCATCAGCTCTTTTTTCCTGGTCTCCTTTTCAAAAACATTTTTTTAACTGTAGTGTTCTGTTCACACAGTTGTCTAATGTTTCTTTCTTTTTCTTTCTTTTTTTTTTAAATCTATGCATTTCAGACCAGAGCTTTCTTCATTGTGAGCTCTTGTCTTCTATGAGTTTGACAATCTCGGCTCTTCTCCCTCCCTCTACACGATTGTTCCAGTGTGGTATTCTAGGGTTTCAGCAAGGAGTTTTTCCT